TGCTTTCTCCCCACAGGGCTGCGGGCTGGTCCCTCTTCCCCAGGGAACCCCAAAAGCAAGGCAGTCTTGGGAGAAGGAGGGGGAAGAGCCAGAATTGCTTGACCGGATGGTGGTATAATCCTCGTTACAAAAGTACACATCAATTATAAGAATTCCTACAGTAATCTTAGAAATCTATCTTTTCTGCTGAACCAGCTCATTAAAGAGCACCATTCATTTCCATCTCTCCGGGTGAGAAGGGTTTAAATCTCCAGAGCTTTGTATTACAGAATAGACTTAGGGTGATGGACTCTCGTTAAATATTAAAAGAAAGAAGTTGATTTTTTTTTTTTTTTTTTTTTTCTCCCTCCCCTCTTTTCCCCCAGACTGCCAGCACAGACAAAATGTAATGTAAGGAGGCAAGATTGGGGGGCTGGGGGGTCCCTGCTGTGAATAGCTTCCCCATCTGTCAGTGGGGCAACGCGGGGCTGTGCCTCCCCTCGCCCGGGGACCCCGGCCAGCGCCGGAGGAGCAGGGAGGGAGGTTTCCCCGGGCCACCCTGGCAAGTCCCCGAGCCTGCGCCGGACCCAGCCGCCGGCACAGAGCAGGGCTTTTGTCTGCTGGCGGGGCAGTGGCCGGCTGCGGGGCGAGGGACGGGCACAGAGCCTCTTTGTGTGCAGCTGCACCCCGAGGCGAGCAGGGGCAGCGGCGACGGGGCAGGGTGCGGGGATGGGGAGTGGGTACCTGGGGGTTGGGAGCGGGTACCCGGGGGTGGGGAGCAGGTACCCAGGGGATGGGGAGCAGGGACCCAGGGATGGGGAGCAGGGACCCAGGGATGGGGAGCAGGGACCCAGGGATGGGGAGCAGGGATCCAGGGATGGGGAGCAGGGTACTCAGGGATGGGGAGCAGGGTACTCAGGGATGGAGCAGTGGCCGGCTGGTGTCGAGGGCGGCACGGGGCAATGTGTGCGCTGCTGCAGAGGCTCTGTGCAAACACGTTAATTTGTTTTCTTTCTTGCCTCGCCTTTCAGGGTAATTGGTTGCATTTGAAGCCTTTGTGAAAGCCTTTGATTATAGTAATTTCAGCAGCGCGATCTACCCTGGATTCCTTCATCAGATTCTTTCACAGCTCCGGCGCTCGGGGCTGTAATTACCGAGCAGGCGCGCGCCTGGCTGCTGTGCACGGTGCAGCCAGCCGGCCTGGGCACTGCGGTGCTGCCGCAATAACCGTGGGAGCCCCAGGCCCCCGCTCACGGGGGGGTGGCCGGCGATATCCCCCCAAGGATGTGGGGCAGGAGGAGCCGTGCTGGGGAGCTTTGGTCTCCGTAGCGTCGAGTCTGTTGGGTCTCAGCTGAGGACGTGGATGCTCATGCTGGGCTGGGGTCCTGGCTTGGCAGGGTCTGGGGTGCTTTTAATTGCTGCTCTGGAGGCACAACCCCCCTCCCCCGGGAGCTGCTTGGCTTTTCTGACAGTTTTTTGCCCCATTTCTGCTGGGGCTGGGACCAAAAGCCTGTGAGCAGCCTGAGCTCTCACTGTCGGGGGCTGGTGGGCAGCTCGGTGGGCTCATCCCCCCCCCGTCCCCCCCCCGCCCCCCCCCCCCCACCCTCCCCACCTTTTTCCCTCCCCATCCGTGTGCAGGATGGAGGCACGGCCCGACTGTGTTGGATGAGTGAGGTTGGGCTTCAAGCGGCTGTGCAAAGGGCCCCCCACGGGAGTACCAAATTTGAGGGGTTATGTATGTATAAGCAGATCCCGCCGGCCCTGCCAGGACCCCAGTGCTCGCAGCCAGGGTCGGGCTTTGCCAAAACCACCGACGGCACCCGAGCGGGGCCCTGACTTTTGCTAAGGGGGCTGCTCCCCCCTCGGTCCTGGTACTCCCTTCCCAGTCCCACGTAATGACCCTCTCGGCAGCGGCGTGCCAGCGTCTGCCACTTCCAATTACCCACGCCTGCTCAGTGCCGCAGCCTCTCCTCGCCCGGTGGCAGCACCATTCTTCTTCCCCAGCAGAATGGCAACGGGTCGGGGGGGGACATTGCACTGAGGTCCCCCACCCACCCAGCTCAGGGACCCTTGGGGACCCCCCGGCGCTGCCCAGGGCTCCAGCTGCTCTGCCCCGGGACATTGGAGATGCTTGACTTTCCAGAATCATTATTAACCTGTTCGAGAGCTGTTCCCGCTCGCAGCTAAAATAGATCTTTAATCTCTGCCCAAAATAGCTCATTTGATGAGAGGCCTCCTTAAAGCTGACACATAAATTTAACCAGGCTGCCCGAGCCCTGTGCGAGGATGTCTGCAAATGCTCAACAGCACTCGAATTGGTTTTTTTTTGTTTGTGTTTTTTTTTTGTTGTTGTTGTTTTTTTGTTTTGTTTGTGGGGGTTTTTTTTGTGTTTTTTTTTTTTTATTTTTGTTTTATTCCATCATTATGGACACATCTTGATACCTTATTTCTTCCATCGGGTCATTTGTACCAGTCGGGAGGCAATTTGCTCGTGTCCTCCGCTCCGGGCTGTGGTGGCTGTGCCCCCGTCCCAGCCTCCCTGGTGCTGCTCACAAGCAAAAGGATATTTTGGAGTATTTTTTGATGTTGATTTTCTTGAACAGTCCAAGGGGTTTCTCCTTAGAGCCGCCGCAGGAGCAGAAACCTCAGCTCTGGGTGGGATGGGAGAGACTTTTCCTCGTTGCTGCCTTAAGATACCAGCAGTGAGGGGATGCTCTGCCTGGGTCCCGGCGTGGGCTCGCAGCCCTCGTTGCCTGCCCCGGTGCCGCTCTGTGCCGCGGCCGGTGAGCTCCAGGCTGTCCCCGAAAAGCCACCGTCCCACTGGCAGCGGGGCAACAAAATGTTCCCTCCCTAAGTAAAGGCAGGTTGTGAGGAAGCGGGAGATGGGGATGCTCACCGTGTCGGAGCGGCAGCCGCCCCCCAAGTTGGGACTGAGAGGGGGTCGCTCCCCCAGCCCCCCGCTCCCCCGCCGCCCCAGTGAGATCCCGAGCAGCAAAATAATCACTTCTAGCATCATTATCCGTTGCAAAACCCAGCTTCCAATTTTAATCAGAGGAGCTGGTGTTGCTTTAAGATCTGCAGGTTTTAAAGATCACAAGAGGGGTTAGAGAAAATTACCCTTGACTCTTACATGCTAATGTAATCTCTAACCAGATCTGCAGCACTGCAGCTAAAATTGCTTTTTAGATTAACATTTAATTATTAACAGGGCCCCCTGAAAGGCCTGGGGCTGGAGCATGCGGAGGGGAGCGGATTAGCCGTGCAGGATGGAGCGGCGGCCGGGCGAGGGGAAGGTCGTGGTGCGGCCGGCGGCACCGCGCCGTGCTTTATTGCAGCCCTCGGCGCGGTGGCGGCGAACTTTTCTGCTTTATTTTATCTGGTGCTCCCCGTGATTTACGGCGGGGTGACCTTTCCCGCGCTCACCCGTTGCAGGACCCGAGCTGCGGCCGTCGCTTGCCGAGCGCCGTGTCCCCTCCACCGCCTCGCCCCGGGGGACTGTAAATCTGCTGCCGGGTGGGAGATGGGCGCGAGCTGGCACGGCGCTAGCCGAAATCCGGGATAGGATGGATGGGCACCCTCTGTGTGCAAAGGGGAAGCCTTCCTCCTCCAGCACCTCCTCACCCTCGCTGGAGGGATGCCATATGATGGAAAACCAGTGTCCGTGGGGACCGGGGATGGTGGCAGTGGCCATGCCGGGGCTGCTGCAGGGGTAGCACCGGTGTCCCCACTCACGGCAGGTAGCCCCGGCACCGCGGCGGGTGGGATGGTTGTACTCGGCACACCGGGGACCAGCAAGGATTTTTGCTTAATTGATCAGTGCTGCCGGTTTGCGAGGGTTGCTGCCAGCCTTGGCCTTGCACCCACGCTGTCTGTCTGTTTGTCTGGTGCTGTCAGAAACCTCTTGCGCCTCTCCTAGCCGGGGTGACCCGGTCGCCTCTTGTCCTTGTGCCAAACCCAGCCCTGTCTTTCCATAGCCGGGGGCAGACGCGGCAGCGTGACTCAAACGGCTTTGCAGCAGCCCCGTTCCTGCTCCTCCTTCCTCTCCCAGCCCTGAACAGTCCCTTTTTTATGGCCTCGCACCCCTGGCCGCCCCCATAACACCTGGGAAGGATGTGCACATATTGCACCGGAGCCCGGATAGTGCCTGAGACCTTGGCCTTCGCTTTCCGGGGGCTGCCCCTGCCCCCCCCTTTCACCCTCATGCTGCCTGGCCGGTGGCATGGTCCCAGTTCAAGCTGAGATTTTAAAAGTTCCCTTTTTATTTTTTTTCTCCCCCCTCCCATCACATTTTCTTTTATCTAAATCCTCGCCTGCGAAAGCCTCTATCGACAGCTGCGCTGGCCTTATCTTGCCGGAGGGACCTTCGCGGGGCTCTCGGAGGAGATAAACCCGACTTATCAGCTGCTGATGTCAGAGGAGGTGCCAAACCCTCCCGTCACGGGGGGCTTTAGACGTAGAGGGTGGTGGTTCGGTGTTCTTTTTTTTTTATTAAAGTCACAAAGACCTTGGGCTTATAAATAGTGCGATGCAGAGATAGAGCTTTGAAATTAGCTGGCCTGGGGTGGGGAGCGGGAAAGAGCAGTCGGGGACGGGCTGGGCAAGGATGGAAGGGGCTGATGGTGGGGCTGGGGCTCCGGGGGACCCTGCTCTGGGTGTCCCCAAGGGACCCCACTCCTGGCATCCCCGAGGGGCCGTGGGCACAGGCCGGGCAGAGGCCATGCAGACTCGGGGCGGTTCAGCAAAACTGCTGAGTGTTGCCTTTCCTGCCACGGAAGAGCCAGAGCAGCTTGAACTAAATCGGATCCTGCTGATTGGAATTAGTTCAAATGCAGATGGAGCTAACTAAGCCGGCGCTAAGCATTCGGACAGCCCAGCGCCCAATTCCCATCAGCTGATTCAGGGGCTTTTTCTGAGCGGCATTAACGAAATGCCACCGCGGCACAGATGCCCATTGTGCCGGGCGCCCGCCCGCTCGCCCACGGGTGCTTTGGGGGGCTGGGGGGATGCCTGGCAGGGGGCTGGGATGGAGGGACGTGCCCGTCGAGGTGCGGTGAAGCACAGCGTAACTGTCGGAAAAAGGATCCCCAAGTGCACGACGCTGGGAGACGGGGGCAAAACCGGGCTCTGAATTAATCGGCGGCTTTATTATTTTGGCGTGTGGCTCCCGTGGTGATGCTCCTGCTGTGCATGGCTGAGGTTGGGGTGGCTCCGGGAGGGTGCTGGGGTGCGTGGTGAGCCCCAGAGAGCCATCGTGGGGGGGTGTCCCCAGGGCACCCACCTTTCTGGACCCCCCCAGGACCAAGGGCACCCGTGGCTCCTGTCACCAGCCACTAGCATCCCCCCGGAGCCCCGCACCGGGGCTGCACCCCTCACCCTCCTGCTTATGGGCACCGGGATTTGGTGCCCGGCCAGTGGCCATATCCTGCCCCGTGGGGGTGGGTTGGCCCCATGTCACCCCCCCACAACCCTTTTTCCTGACATGCAGCGTCCTGAGCCGCAGAGACAGGGACACAGGGCAGCAGCGGGGGACGGGGTGATGTCCGCCCGCTAATCGGCCAGATGGTGACAGCCGGTGGGACGCCGGCCCCGAGGTCACCGCGTAGGTGAGGCTCTGGTGCAGCCATCCCCCACACCTGGCCTGGGGTACCCCGACCCAGGTCCCCCCCATCTCAGCCACCGCCGCAGCCGGCCGGTGGGCACGTGCCGGGGGGAGCCACGGGGGAGTGGGGCTGCGTCCCGAACCCCGAGTCCCGGCGGGGAGAAGCGAGCTCCCTGGCAGTCAAGTGCGCTCAGCTTCTGAATAAGAAGCACTTCATTCTCTTTTCAAACTGTATAATTTCTGCCTGATTGTAATGGCATATTTTAAAATTACCAGAAATCGAAGCCAGAAAATGGATACGGCTGCTTTTACTGCGAGCTGCGTTAACAAAGGATATGTAATGCATGAAATAAAAACACCTCCCTGCCCCCCTCCTTTTTTTTTTTTAAGACAGTAATAGGAGAAAATTGGTTTTGAAACTGAATAAAAGTCCCTTTCAGAGGAAATCATTTCTTTCAGGGTACCTTTGCTGAAAGTAAAATAGTGAATAATGAAAGGTGGTTACATGATTGTCTTTCATTTAGAGAGCGCGAGGACAGATGGAATCTGGGAGAAATGCACGATTGGAATAATTGCATGGTAACAAGGCGCTTGTTGTGAAATTAGTATCTTAAGAAAGTAGTGAAAAAGGCTTTTACTCATGAATACTTCATTATTAGGAGAAAACAGCACAATTTGGGTTCTCCAGACACCTGCTTGGTATTAGATGGCTTCCTCCTCCCCTCCTGCTCCTCGCACCTTTCGCTAACGAGTCTCTCCCTTCCCCGGGTTTGCAGTGGGGGGGACACGGGGCGCGACCCCCGTGTCCTCGGGCAGAGCCCGGCCGCAGCTTCGGCGGCTGCGGAGGCGCGTGGTGACGGGTGACGTTTAAACCGGCGGAGCGAGGGGACCCGCGGGCACAGCTCGGGGAGCACCCATCGCTGCTTCGGTGCCCGGCGGGTGCAGGTCACGGTCCCCAAGGCCACCGTCGCTCGCCAGCGCTGGGGCGTGCGGGAAACGTCCCGGATGGCTGCGGGAGGGTGCGATTCCCCCACGACGGAGCAGGTGAAGTGATGGACCCGGCCGTGACCCCCCCTAGATGTGACCCCTGGCCGTGACCCCCCCCCCCCAACCATCAGTAAACGTTCCAGCCAGGAGCGCGACGGCTCAGAAGCTGCGACGCCGGCGGACGTCTTCCCTGCTTTTCTGTTGCTCCTGCCCACGTCTCCCTGCCCTCTCCGAGCAGGAACATCGCTCCCCGCGCCAGCCGGAGCAGTGGGAGGGTGTCAGCAGCAACTGGTTATAATTCATGCCCTCCGCGGAGGCTCGTCAAGGATGTACAATTAACAGAGCGGTGGCGGCGGCCGCGGCGGTGACTTTGGCCTGACCCCTCCAGCTTTCGCCGAGCAGATTTTGATGCCAGCTGGGAGCTGGCAACGGATCCCAGGGCCCCGAGGGGGATTTTAACGCCGTTTTCCCCCAGCCTCGGCCGGAGCCGGCGGGGTTGCCTGCTGCCGGCTGGCACGCCGGCGGAGCGGTCTGGCGCTGCCGGGAGCGCGGTGCCGGAGGGATGCCCCAGCTCTGCCCCGATCCCGGCGGGAAGGGCGGAAAGCTTTGCAGGAAGCACAAATCACCCTCTGAGCCCTTCATATTTATTTTATATACCTTCATATCTATTGCAGGCTTTCCGAGTGATTTATTTCTCTCCGAAGGAGCAAAGGGCTCCTCTGAGCAGCCGTGGTGCTCCTGCCCTCCAGCTCCTCCGCCCGGGGAGCGGCCGGGCGGGCAGGAGGGGGGTGGTGGGCGATGGGACGGGCGGGTCCCCTCGCCTCTGACCGCCGTGTCTCTTCTCTCGGCAGGACGCGGGCCGGCGGCGGGGCTGCCCGCCGGGACACCCGGACCATGCTGGCCTGCCTGCAGCGCACCCAGAACCCCCCAGCCCAGCACCTCGCCTGCCCCAACAAGGCGCTGGAGCCGCGCAAGTGTAAGTACCCCGCGGGGTTTGGGGTGAGGAAGGGGGGGCGGGGGGGTGTGCATGCCCGCGCCCGCTTTGATGCTGCGTCCCTTATTGCTAAAGACATTTATTTAACTGATAATTAAAAAGAGCAGGAGAAGCGGGGAGGAGGAGGGGGGGGAGGGGAGGAAGGAGACAAGATAAGCAAATTAAATTGGGTTGCTCTGGTTGATAAGTCGAACTTCAGAAAATGTTGCAGAGCTGTCTGGGAAGCGTGGCAGCAGAGGATGCTGCTGTCGCCGGCTCCTCGGCCCCCCAAACCTCCCCGGCCCTTCCCCCCCTAATTACTTTCCCCGTTTTCCTGCAGCTCGCCTTCCCCAGGAGCTGGCCTTTCAGATAAGCTGTAAACTAGTTACATTAAAATGGGATCCAAAAGGTCACTCCAGTAAAGCACCTGTCTCTCCCAGCCTTTGTCTCTCAATCCAAACCGTGATTAAATGTATATTTAATGAGCCTGCTTTAGGCAGGCGTGTTTGACCTCCCCGGCTGGGAAAGACGCATTAAGATTCTCAAGTGATGAATGTGTGTTTTAAAGAGGGGAGTGGATATTTTTCTGCTGGTCTCAGTTGGATTTTTAAACATTGCCGGCTGAAGACAAATCAGCTGCTAAAGCTCTGCTTGTTAGTCTGTGACAGCCCCCAGGCATTTGTTTAATGATCTGTATTTTCCCAGGGATGTTTTTTCCCCCCTACCTGGGCACCCCGACACAGCCGAGGGAGCTGGGTGCGGGGTGTGGGTGATGCTCGGCCACCCCGGGGAACCCCGGCGTCTCTCCGGCAGGGCTTGGCTCACACCGGTATCCAGGAGGATTAATTTTTTGGGTGAAGCACCCCAAGCCCCAGCGCAGCATCGCTGCGGGGAGCAGGGCACCCAGGCCAGAGGCAGGTGCCTCCCGAGCCGTTTGCCCCCCGAGCACCCATCAGGGTGTCAGCTCATCGGGGGTCTCGCCGAGTCTCTAAAGCGGGTAGGTGCGTGCGTGGCCCCTCCCCGTGCGCTCGCGCTGCGTCGGAGCTCGCGGTGCCGCTCAGGTCTCCTCCTTATTAGTGTCTGGAAGGAAAACGGATGTTGCTCTTGTAAAATTATTCCTAATCCGTCACGCCCCAGCGGCTTGCGGCGGCGCAGGGCTGGCACAAGGGTCCGGCTCCCGGCGCGCCTCGTTGCCACGGGCTAATTAGCTCAGCTGGGCCCGCACGGTCCGAGACCTGTGCGCAGGCTGAGCCTGGCAGCGTTTTCTGGAGATGGGAAGAGTTTGGCACCGGGCGTCTTTGTGTCGAGCCCGGTGTGATGCTGAGGTCAGGATACAGCCTCCTGTCCCTGCTTGCAGCTCGGAGCCGGGGCCTGACTCGGCTCGTAGGGATGCTGAGGAGCAGCACCCCGGGGATGGAGCCCAGGAGCACCCTCCTGCCAGGGGGGTTGGTGCTCCCCAGCATTTCCCACCTCCGCCAATACTAAAATAAGAGTTGGGGAGCGGGAGCCCGTACGTGGTGACACCCCATGGGTGGGCAGAGCTGCTTTTGGATGCAGCCACCCATGTCTTGGGAGGGTCCCGGTGCCGGGGGGGTCCCTGAGCTGCGTGGGAGGAGGGCAGCTTGCAGAGCTCTCACCCCAAGCTGGACCCCAGCAGGCATGGGGGAGCGGGGATTTTTGACTGATCGCACCCCATCTCTCAGGGCAGGACCACGCTCGCCCAAGATCTCTGAGGTTTGTCCCGTGTCAGGGTGCATCCCCCCGGGGTGGCCGAGCTCCCCGGCCAGCCCCCTGCGCCGCCCTCACCGCCGCCAGCCAGGTCACCTTAATCAAAGTTTAGCTGCCGGATGTTTCCGCTCATTATGGGCAAATCCAGCACGGCTCGCTCCTCTCTGCCTCCCGCTAGTGCAAATTAAATTGCAGGTGACATCCAGGGCCACGCATCTGGTTTGGAATACGATTTTGCCTTCTTTATTTATGGCACCTGCGGCGAGCGCGGTGCAGAGGGGCCGGTGAGCCGGCGCGCGCGGCCGAGCCTCCTGCCTCCTCCTAAATGCCTGTGTAGGTAATCGACAGAGATAGTGTTCTCTTAAAACGAGGCACAATTTAGAAGTGCCTCTGATTACTTAATTTGCTCCTGAGTATCTCAGTAATTATCTTTATGGGTCTTATTTCTGTCCTCTGGCATTGTTTCTGTCGATATTAAATGAGTCTGGCTCTCAGCACATTGGCCGTCTGGCCCAGCATCACTGTGAAATCCTATTATCCTGCCCGCGCCGCTGATTAATTTTTGTATTAATTTCACGTAAAAGGTGAGCTGACTAATTTTCCTGCCCGTGCTGGGAGCTGCTGGCCCCGGCGCCTTCACCCCCTGATTCTGCCCCTTGGCTCTCCTGCTAATTACTCTCCCCCCCCATCTCTGTGCCCCACACGCCGACGTGGCTGCGTCCCAGCGGGCTGGGTGCGTCCCACGAAATCCACCCTGTTAAATGCCGGAGGTGCCTTTGCCACGGTGCTCGCCGTTGCCAGCTCCTGGCAGCAGCCCGTTTCCCTTGCTGGTAATCCCAGGGCTGCGCCGCGGGCACCGGCCCGGCCCGGCAGCGTTGCATCCTCGGGGAAGGTGCCGAGGGGATAAGGATGAGGATGCAGGAGGTTCCCAGAGCCCTGGCAGCCCTGGCTGCGTCTGCCCGCCTCCAGCCGAGGAGCAGGAGCCTGCGGAGAAGCAGCATCCTCAGGAAAATATCACGTCCAATTAACTCCAGCAGCCTGGTCCCTTTTGATTTTATTCTGTGCGCATTACAGGAATCCTGAGCTTTATTTAAATTATAAATCAAATAATACCACTCGGCTTGGCCAAACTCTTTGCTGCTCTTGCTCTCTGCAGTAACATAGCAGAGGCTTATATTTAATTAAATGTTACTTTCCATGTGCCCTCCTTCAGCCTGCGCTGCTCTGCCGTCAGCCCCAGGCTGGGCGGGGGGGCAGGATGCATGGGATCCATACGGAGCTGGGAGTTACGGGGAGCCCCCTGAGCCCCCTCTGTGCTACCATCACGTTTTGCTGTGTGAGCATCAGCCGCCACCTCTCCCCGCGCTCATCCTTCTGGGGGGCTGGAGGGTGCTGGGGGTCCCGTGGGACCTGGCACCTCAGTGGGGACAGTGGAAGAAGCTCTTTGGGGTGGCGTGAGCCCTCTCAGGGCTCCAGCTGGGTCGTTAAAACACTAATGAGAGGTGATGTCCGGGGCTCAGAGAGTGACAAAGTGCCGGGACCTGGCTCCAGGGTCACCCACACCTCTCCCCGCTTGTCCGTGGGGACTTTCATCAGTGATAAAACTGTTTAATTGCATATGGGATAAAGCCCCGTTTAATGGCTTCTCGTTACCCAATTCTACTTATTCCAAGGGCATTTTCATTAAAGTAGCTGTAGCAAGGCTCTGCTTTTGTACACACCCATAAAATATCATTTTAATTTCATGAGGGGTTACACATGAGTGAAATAAGATTAATTCTTTCATTTTCAGTTTCTGGAAGGGATCGGTTAATGATGGTTCTGTGTATTTATATACGTGCCATAAAAGGGAGTTCAATTAACTGCCGTGCCCAAAATGTGCTGTTGACTTGCACTTTCCTTGCCAGGAAATGCTGCAAAACCACTTTTCGATCGGTCACATGCGTGGTGGGGATGGATGGGTGAGGGGGGTGCTCCTTATTGCTGGTGCAGCCTCCCCGGGGGTTGACCATCTCCCACGAGATCGGAGCCTTGGTCTTTGGGTGGGCTTTGCTGGTAACGCCCCGAGGATTTGGTTTGTGTCCAAACTCTCCAGGATTGCACCAGCCCATCGATGGCGGAGCCGGTTCCCGCGCACTGTGTGGGGGCTGCAGACCCTGGGGTGGGGCACCCGCTCCCCACACCCCATTCCCCCGGGCAGGGACAGGGGGCCGTGGGCACCAGCAGCCCTGTGCGGCGTGCAAAGCCCCTGTCTTAAAATTAATCAAATTTAAACTAATTTATTCTTGATGATGGAGCGGAGGGGCTGGGGAGAGGCTGGGGGGCTGCTGGATGTGGTGGGGTCCCTCCAGGTCCTGGGGTCCCCTCAGTGGTGGGGTGGCATCGGGGGGGGGCATTGGACAGTGTTGGGTGTCAGAAGGGTGACATTGGGATAATATCAGGGTGGCATTGGGGTGGCCTCAGGGCTGTGCTGGGGCAGTGTTGGGTGGCATTGGGACAGTATTGGGGTGGCACTGGGGCAGTGTCTGAATGGCACTGGGGTGGCATTGGGGTGGCCTCAGGGCTGTGCTGGGGCAGTGTTGGGTGGCACTGGGACAGTATTGGGACAGCATCATGGTGGTGTTGGGGTGGCATCTGGGTGTCATTGGGGTGGGAGCGTGGCAGCATTGGGGTGGCACTGAGATGGCATCAGGATGGCATTGGGACAGTATCAAGACGGCGATGGGACGGCATCAAGGTGGCACTGGGCTATCAGGACGGCATTGGGGTGGCATCAAGGTGGCATCGGGGCAGCAGTGGGGTGGCACGGGCACATCCTCTTGGCCACGGTGCCGTCCTCCCCCCCCCTCACCCCCCCCCCCGCCCAGCACCGTTCGCCTTCGCTGCGCCGGTGGCACGGCGCGCGGCGGCGCGCGGCACTAATACCTCGTGGAGGAGACAAATGGGAAGTGACACGTGTGTGTGTAGACGGGTATTTGTGGTGACGCTTTGACTGCAGATAATAAAGTGCTCGCCCTGAGGTGATCCAATTCAGCAGCCGCCTCGGCAGAGCCGTGCGCCGTCGAGGGGGAGAAGAAAGGGGAGGAAAAAAGGCCCGTCTGAAATGACATGTCAGCCTAAAAAGGGAACGTGTTAACGGATGAATATCTGGGGACGGCGAAGCCCGGCGCTTCCCTTTGTGCTTTGTCATGAATTTTGTTGTCTTTGCAGATTACGGCTCCTGCGCGGCTGCCGCGCGGGGTTTGCCACCTACGTTTTATTCAGATGGATTTCTCCCGCTATTATTTCTGTAGTCGGTTTTAATTTAAGCCCCCGAAGCCGGGGCGCGTTTGTCTCTCGGCTCCTCGCGCCGAGGATGCTCTGCCGGAGGATGGGTTTTGTCCTGGCTCCGCATGGTCACTGAAGGGGTGGGGGTCCTGCCGATGGTGGGGAGGTTTCTTGCAGTGGGGATGCGGCGTTTTGGGGGGGGCGGCTGTGATGATGCTGAGGGTGCTGGTCCAGGGGTGGGTGCTGTCCCTGCTGCTGGGGCTGTGCTTTGGGAGGGGGTGGGGGGGGCTGGGGACCGCGCCGGTGTAGGGGCTCCCCGACGCATCCGCCGTGGCGCGGTGGCCTCGGCGCCACCCATCCTGGGGACCGTCACCATAGAAACCACCGCACTTTCGCAGGGTGGGAAAGCCGCCGTGATGTGACAGCAGCCCGACCTGCCTGGCGCAGAGCGAGGGGGGTGTCAGCCACCCCCCCCCCCCTCCGCCCGACTGCACCCCAAAACCCGCTCTGGGGACACACAGGACCCACGGCGGCTCTCCCCGGGGCTGGGGGGTACACACACCCCCATACCCACCCGTGGGTCTGGGCAAGGCAGCATCCCCCAGTGACCCTCCCCAGTTCTAACTGGGACCCCCTGGGATTCACTCAGCTCTTGGCCAGGGGTCGCCAGCCCCCTGCTCCCTGGGGTGGGCTGGGGGGGTCCTGCCAGGGGCTCAGGGCAGCCAGTTTCTGCCCAGGCAGCTTTGCCACCCAGACCCAAACTTCCAGGACTTTACTGCTTTCTTAAAAAATATAACAGGTTTTGTTTGTTTTCTTCCAAGTGTTTACCAAATATTGAGGTTTCTTCCAACCGTTTACCAAATACTGAGGTTTCTTCCAAGTGTTTTGCAAATATTTAGGGTTTAGCTCTTCCAAAATCTGTTCCCAGTGTTGCAGGCAGAGAAAAAGGGGATTTTGATGCTGTTGAAGCTTCAAAGACATTAGGATCTCCTTGATGCGAGGGGAACAGGGAGCCTGGTCCCAAAGCCAGGGGACGAGCTCTCGGCTCTTGCCGAGTTTAATTCATTTGGAGGCTGCAGCACTATTATTATTTAATAAGAGCCATTGGCACACCGATCACTGAGCGGCTGCTCAGGTCCCCAACGCCTCCTCCTGCCTCTGCTCGGCGCGCTCAGCGTCGCTCCCCTTCCCACCCCCTCCTGCCCCTGCGCAAATTAAAAATCCTGCCTAATTGCTGCCCTTTTGCCCCGCAGGCTCGGGGAGGCAGAGCAGGAGGGAAACACGAGCTCAGCGCTGGAAACACCAGCGCTTTCCTGTAAGAGGGGCAGGGCAGGACTGGGAGGGAGGGTGAGGATGGGGAGGTGGGGGTGAGGTCTGGCAGGATGCTCCGGGTAGGGCAGGGTGACCCCCCCGGGAAATGCCCCTTCCTGGGGTGAATGTGGCGATGGGATGAGGGGAAGGGAGGGTGGGCAGAGCAGCCGGGGCTCCGTGTTGCGATTTTGGGTGGAAAACAGCGCTGGGGCATGGCTCTGGCTGCTGCAGCTCCCCAAACTTCCCTGGCAAATCCACCTGAACCCACCGTGGTGCTGAGCCATGTCCCTGCCAGGACACCTCTGCGGGGACAGACCTGCCCGGAGCGGGAGAGAGGGGCTGCCAGCCGGGCACCCCGCACGCCGCGGCACTGGGAGGAGACTGATCCCACTGGGCAGCTCTCCCCTTCCCCAGGATGGGGTTACCCCCGAGATGGGGGTGCCCTCTGCAGCCAGGACATGCCCGGGGCTGCGCTGAGGCAGGACGAGCGCAGCAGCCCCAGCAAACCCTGGGGTGAAAAGGGGTGAAAAGCGTTTTTCTTCGGGGCCACGGGAAAGCGAGGTGCCGGGTACCTTCCAGCTGTGGCTTCGCCTTCAGCAGCTTTATAAAGATTTACTGCTGAGATTACTTTTTTTCATTTGTTGCAAAATATTTTAGTGCTTTCGATGTGTAAAAATAAGGTTTGTCCCATCTTATCTCACAGAGGAGAGAAGGAATGAAAGGGGGGGAATGAGGCAGCATGCCGTGGCGGCTGTTAACTGGTTCAGTGCCACGTGCTGCCACCACATCCCTGCTCGGCTTGTCCTTGCTCAGGGCTGAGGTGCTGCCGACGCTGATCCCCAAGATGTCACCCCCATGCACCCCAATATCTTGCTTGACATCCCCTTTCAAAGTGGGGCAACCACCCGGGGAGCGTGGTGGCTCCTGCAGCATCGTGGCCTGAAAATTAAAGCCATAAATTGCCAGTGCAGGCGCTCGCCCTCCTCCAGGGAAGAGGGGGTCCAGCCAGGGATGCTGCCACCAGTACCAGGCTGGGGGGCACCCGGGGCTTCTGGGCTGTGGGAGCAGCATGGAGCATCCTTCCTGGTGCTGAGCATCCTTCCTAATGTCAAGCATCTTTCCTGTCCTTCCTGGTACTGAGCATCCTTCCCAGTGCTGAGCATCCTTCCTGGTGCCAAGCATCCTTCCCAGTGCTAAGCATCCTTCCTGGTGCCGAGCATCCTTCCCAGTGCTGAGCATCCTTCCTGGTTGTGAGCATCCTTCCTTATACCAAGCATCCTTCCTATTATCGAGCATCCTTCCTGACGATGAGCATCCTTCCCAGTGCTGAGCATCCTTCCAGGTGCTGAGCATCTTTCCTGGCGTCGTTTTGATCTCACAACTGCTTTAACCAAGCAGACACTGATTGCCAGAGCCCCGATGCTGCCGCTCCTGTGCTGTCACAGAGCTCCTCGGGTGCCAAATTGTTCGCCTGACTGACAGCTGAGCAGCCCAGACAGGTCTATTATTTCTATGGGGCCCGGGCCCCGCGGGCCTGCAATTTAGGTCTGTGCTATTAACCCTGCCTTGTTCTCCACTTTGTAACTGCTTTAGTGCCTTTAAAAGTGTGCAGTTAAAATCAGGGTTAATTAGGGGCCCAGCAGCTGGGCTTCGCCGGCGCCCATTGTGTCCCAGCAGAGCTGGGGCCGGGGCTGGAAGTAATTGGGGAATGTTGTGGGTTTGTGCCGGCCGACTCCCATGCCACGCAAGCCCCGGATCATCGGCCTCTGGTTAGCCTTGGTCCCTCCTGCTGCAAGGATGGCTTCAGTTAGCTTCCCTCCCTTCCTTTCTCCCCATCTTTTCTTTTTCCCTGGCCCTTGCAGGCTGTGGCTGCAGCCAGGCACAGCGCGGGGGATGCGGGAGATGAGGGTGATGCTGGGAATGCAGGGGGTCCAAGGGATGGGGGGGATGCTGGGGATGGGGGGATGCTGAGGGTGCAGGGGGTCCAAGGGATGGGGGGGACACTGGGGATGGGGGGATGCTGGGGATGGGGGGATGCTGGGGGTGCAGGGGGTCCAAGGGATGGGGGGGAAGCTGGGGATGGGGGGATGCTGGGGATGGGGGGATGCTAGGGGTGCAGGGGGTCCAAGGGATGAGGGGGATGCTGGGGATGGGGGGATGCTGGGGGTGCAGGGATGCAAGGGATGCTGGCAACACACATGCTGGGGAAGGCTTTTGGGGTTTCTCAGGTCACCCCCATCCCCATCCATCCCTCACGCAGCCACCCCCCATCCCCATCGGATGTTTTTCCCAGACCCGGCTGCTCCGAGCACGGCAGGGCCAGAGCTCCCCGACCCATAAACTGAGATTTATTCTGGATCGCGGCACTGGTGGGGTCTGGGATTTACATCTGTGTCTCAAACCGGGTTTGGTGGCCAATTTGCTAAAGTAAAAAGTTGTTTAGCTGGGGGCATAATCTTATAAGCCTGTGCTGCCATTATAATGGCTTCTCGTTTCTGCCTGGCTTTCCAATAATGCTTTGAGCAGAAGCTCGGAGTAATATAAAAAGCCATTGGATTATTACTGCGGGCGATGCATTTTCCATTTACAGTAATAAAATACTGAAGAAACAAAACAATTTAAAATTCCAATAAAATTCAAACCAAATCTTTGGCTGCTGAGCAGATTCAATTATTTAGCTGTTATTGAGTGCAGGCTGGAAAAATAGAGCAGGTCAGGGAGGGAGGGGGAGCGCGGAGCTGGGGGTGTGCCGGCCACATCCCATGGGAATGCCGGCGAGGGAGGGAGCAGGGAGCTGGGGAAGCATCTTCTGGGAGAAGTGGCTGTTGGTGGGTGCCTGTCCCCGGACCGGCGCGCTTTTGGGGTGGCAAGAGCTGGGACGGTGAGCCCGGCAGAGGTGACCCGGCCAGGGGTCCGCGGCACATCCCGGCCAGCCCCGGCGTGGCGGCTCCGGTGGGTCAAGTTGAAGGGGATGGGGCGGGTAAAGCCGGCGGCGAGCGGCTGGTGACAGGCTGGCTGCCTGCGCCTGACGGGTGACGGCGGTGGTTCGGGAGAGTTTGCATCTCGCAGTAATTACAGCCCGTTAGAAAGCAGTAATTACCGTGGAGAGGGGGAGCGGCGGAGCCGTGCAGCCGCCAGCGCGCCGGGAGCCGCCGGGAAATCGGTCGCTCTGTAATTTTCCCGGCGGGGGTTCGGTGCGTCACCCTGATATGTGACAACACACCGAATTGGTGGCTTGTCACATCCAACCCAGCTGGCGCGAAGAGGCGACAAAGGCGGCTCCCGGCTGCGCCCCCCACCCCCCCCACACCCCCCCCGGCTGGCTCACGGGCGGCCGTGGCAACTCCCCAGGCACACGCCGGCACCGGGGCTTGGCGGTGGGACACCCCGCTGTCACCTTGCTTGGGGACAGGGTCATGGTGACCCATGCTGGGGAGCCGCAGCACCCACGGGTGATGCCGCCTCCCTCCCTTGAGCAATAGCCTCCCCACCCCCCCCCCCTTTTTTTTTTTTTTTTTTCCCCCCCAATTATTTTTGCTCGGAAAGGAACGTTTCCGTGAAACGGGCTCATTAGGGATTCTGCGAGCGTCACCAGCTAATTAGTGTCATGTTAATTGAGTATTCACGATGCTGCCACCTCCAAGGACAGCGGTGCCGGCATGAAGGGGAATGCAGATGTGCGTGGCTCACCGTGCCGTGCCGGTGGGCAGGGGGGGTCCCGCTCGCAGCCCCCCCGTGCTCCACAAGTGCCACCCGGGCTCCGGAGCTTGTCGGGGGGTGGATATTCAATGCCCGGGACGCCGCGTGCCTGCACGTGTCCTGCCGTGCCTCCTGGCAGCTACCTTAAATCCTGCTCAGAGGCCCTGGTTTTAATTGGCTTAATATACTCGTTAATAACAACATCTATTTAAGACACCTGTAAAAAGCCCATAACATTAGCTTAATGGGAGGAACGGCTGGTGACCGCTCCGCCGTTCTGCCTGTTAAATTACTGCTGCCCCGCTCTGATGGAGAGGACGGAGAGCGGCCACGGCCTCGCTCCTGCGTCTCCCCGAACATCACCCAGAGGGGGGGTGACGCGGAGTCCTGCCAGTGCCCCAACTTCCCCCCCTCCCTCCCTGAATCCTGGATTTGTGCCCGGACCCTTGCGGGCGGGCGCCTCGGAGCGGGGTCGAGCCCCGGGCGCTGCAGGGCCGATGTGAACGACTTCGTTAGGACGGGGCGGCTCTGCCCCGGTGACTTGGCCACCCAGCACGTGGTGGCACCAGGAATCGCTGGTCCCGGTGGCAGCCGGGGCAAAGTGCTCCCCAGTGTCCCCGCGGGGACGGTGGGTGCCTGCCTTCCCCCGGGGTTCCGTGGGGCTGCGCTGCCCGGGAGCCTCCAAAATTGCGGGGCAGCAGGGGAAGCGTCCCTAGGAGGGCTGGGGCTCCTCGGTGGGGGGGGTGCCAGCCCCAATCCCACCCCCCCCCCATTTGACCATCTCTCCCTTGCAAACCCTGGCACCAGGTCTGGCATTCCCAGGGTGCTGCAGATGTCCCCGGGCAGGGCCGGGGGGGTTTTGGGACCGGCTCGGGAGCAAACGTCATCCCCTGTGTGCCGGTGTGTGTGTGCACGCGCTTCTGTGTGTGTGTGGAGATTTTAAACACCTAATTTATTCCATCTATTAGATAGATTTTGTAGATTTAATCATTTTCACAGTTGGTGGCTCATTGGATACTCAAGATAAACTCCAAATGAAAGTATAATGGGTACGACAAATGAGTTTTCACACCAGAATGGCAGAAACTTGCTTGGGAAAGAGTTTGAAAGGAACAAAAATATATACATATATAATTTTTTTTTTCTGCAGTGGCTTTTGCTGACTCCAGTAGGTTACCACAGTTAATTTCACCAGTTTTGTTCATCTGTAAAATTGCATAAAAGTGACATTTTTGTGCTCATTATAGGAACTGCTGATTTATGGCTGGTAAATGCAATGCTTTTCCATTTTTGGTGAGGTTCTCGTAGCAGCGCAAAGCACCCATGAAATTGCTTGTATAATGTAGTTTAAATCCAATCTCGGAGAAAGATTCCCCCGTTGGGTAAAGTGACATTTCCATTCTCCACACCGAGTTTATTTTAGGCCACTTACAAGTGACTCCGTCAGCGGGAGGGGGCAGGTTGGTGCCGTGACCTGGTTTCTGCCGGGAGCGGGTGGGAGCCGGGGCGGGGGGCGATGGGTGCTGGGGCACCGGGTCCTCCGGGCAGCACCGGATTCACCCTACGCTTTTGTTCCCGTAGGCGAGACGGCGGCACCCATGCATTCCCCACGCTACCCCAGCCCCGCCGAGCTGGACGCCTACGCACAGAAGGTGGCCAACAGCCCGCTGACCATCAAGATCTTCCCCACCAACATCAGGGTCCCCCAGCACAAGCACCTTAACCGGACGGTCAATGGCTACGACACCACGGGGCAGCGCTACAGCCCCTACCCCCTGCACGCCGGCGGCTACCAGGGTCTCCTGGCCATCGTCAAAGCCTCCGGCAAAAGCGTGGTGAAGAATTCGGAGGGAAAGCGGACTAAGCTCTCGCCCGCCCAAGTCGGAGTCGCTCCCTACCCCGCGTCAAGCACTTTAGCTCAAGGTCCCTCCTGCGCCGGGCAGCTGAGCTACCACGGTGGCCCGAAGCAACTGGAGGGTCCCGTGCCCCCCAACGTGACGGTGGCGGCCTCCGTGCTGCCGCTGGCGGGCAGGAGCCTGGCCCTGCCGCCGTCCAACCTGCCCTCCATCCAGAGCATCATCTACCAGATCAATCAGCAGTGCCAGGCGCAGGGCGCGCAGCCGGGCTGCCCGGCCGTCGTGGCCGCCAACCCCAGCCCGGCCAAGCACGGCGCTTTCCCCGCCGCGTACGCCGGCGCCGTCCTGCCGGAATGCCGCAAGGAGCTGGCGCTGGGCTCCAACCCGGCCGCGGCGCTGGGCCCCAAAGCGGGCGTCTACCCCGAGGGGATGGACTACCTGGTCTGGCAGCAGAAGCAGCAGCAGCAGCAGCAGCAGCACCAGCACCTGCGAATGTACAGCGGGGGCAGCAGCGGCGGGGGGGCCCTCAGCAAATCCCCCGAGACGTGCGCGGGCGCCTCGCGTCCCTACGGCCTGGGCGGCGCAGCCGAGAAGGTGAGCTCGTCCCCGTTGAACTGCATGCACGGCAACTTCTCGGTGGGGCAATACTTCGCCCCGCCCTGGAACAGCATCTTGGTGACCCCCAACAGCGACTGTTACAACCCGCCGGAGCTGGGGGCCGGGCCCCGCGAGCTGGGGGTGCCCCCCGCCGAGGGGCTGCCCAGCAAGACGCTCTGCAATACCTCCATCCTCAGCAGCAGCCTCCAGTCCCTGGAGTATCTCATCAACGACATCCACCCACCCTGCATCAAGGAGCAGATGCTGGGCAAGGGCTACGAGACCGTGTCTGTGCCAAGGCTCTTGGACCACCAGCACGCCCACATCCGTTTGCCCGTCTACAGATAAGGAACCGATGCTGCTTTTCCCAAACCCAGGGCGAGGACTTTGGCACGAGCCGTGCTCCCCTCCGGCACCGCGCGGGTACCGGACTGTGGCAGCGAGGGCAGGGGGGACGGGGAGGGGGACACGGGGTCGGCTGCCAAAAGGGCTCCCGGGACACTGGCATTTCACCGGGGTCCCCAGACTGGATACACCCGCAACCCGCTGGAAGCCGAGGACGAAGGACCGCTTGTCTATATAACTCAGAAATCATTTTATCTCCACGAATGTGAACAGGGAATCGCTACGAGTTGCTGCTATCCAGGGAGAGGAGGCTCCGCTCCGCGCACCTGCGGGAGCCCGGCCGGGTCTGTGTGGGGCAGAGCCCTGTGCCGTGCCTGGCTGGGAAGCTCACCGGGATGCTCACCGGGATGCTCACCGGGATGCTCACCGGGATGCTCACCGGGATGCTTACCGGGAAGCTCACTGGGAAGCTCACTGGGGAGCTCACTGGGGAGCTCACTGGGAAGCTCACCGGGATGCTCACCGGGTTGCTCACCGGGAAGCTCACCGGGATGCTCACCGGGGAGCTCACCGGGATCGGGTTGCTCACCGGGTTGCTCACCGGGAAGCTCACCAGGATGCTCACCGGGTTGCTCACCGGGTTGCTCACCGGGAAGCTCACCGGGTTGCTCACCGGGTTGCTCACCGGGAAGCTCACCGGGTTGCTCACCGGGTTGCTCATCGGGAAGCTCACCGGGTTGCTCACTGGGAAGCTCACCGGGGAGCTCACCGGGAAGCTCACCGGGTTGCTCACCGGGAAGCTCACTGGGAAGCTCACCGGGGAGCTCACCGGGAAGCTCACTGGGATGCTCACCAGGAAGCTCACTGGGAAGCTCACCGGGTTGCTCACCGGGAAGCTCACCGGGATACTCACCGGGAAGCTCACCGGGAGCCGGTGCCAGCCCAGCAGCCAGCCGGCGCGGTGGCCGCAGGGAGCTTGCGCCTGACCTGTAGCTGAAGTCCGTAACTTGCACTGCTTTGATTAAAGCTAATAATTGGGGACAGTCTGGAGGCTATTTAAGAAAAACACTTGAAAACTTGAACAGATTTTTTTTTTCTTTCTTTCTTTCTTTTTTTTTTTTTTAGTTGACTAGGCTGTACATCTACATGTTGGCTGCTACAGAGTCTCCTCCCACCCCTCTTCCTCCTCCTCCTCCTCCTCTCGCCCAGCCCTGTGTTGGCCACCACCTCCTATTCCTGCTCAACCGGGAGGTTCGGTGCCCCCGTGCCGGGCACCCAGTGGGACCCCCCGGCCCCAATCCCACCCCACGGCACCGCTGGGAACCCACCTGGGTTTCACACTTCCAGGCTGGTTTTTTTTTCCCCCCCTTACTGTCAGTTCTACCTTGGTTCTGAGTTAGAGTCGACCACGGTACCGGGGCGCTCACATACCTCCTTTCTTCTTTTTTTTGGGGGGAAAAAAAAAAAAAAAAACGAGTTCCAAAATGCTCATTATGGTCTGTTATTCACTATGTGTAATTATGTGTTTAATAGATTTATTCATTTAAAAAAGGCTCCACACCACAAAATACAAAGTGTTTTGATGTTTAAAGGAAAAAAAAGAAAAATACCCCGATGAAACCCAAGGTGATTGTGCTCGGAAAAGAGGTACTGTATCCCTGAAAGGCCTGTTCAAGCACTAAGTGCATTTACAAATCTCTGAGAATGTTTTTTTTTTATACTAAAATTGACCATTATATTCTACTGTGAGAAGTGCTGGCTGCACTATATTGTTTTAAAAATGAGAGAAAACAAATGAAGAAAAAAAAAAAAAAAAACAAAAAAAAAACAACACAAAACCCGCAAGCCGTGTGTCCGGATGGTGTTTTTCCCAAAGTAAAACCAGGATATCGCTGGACGTGTGCTCTGGAGTCTCTTTGCTTTGCTGTGGCCTCCCCTGGGCCCCCCCTCTAGAGCTGGCCCCCCCCCCCCCTTCCTCCCGCAGATTTATAGGAGCACCTATAAATAACTTGCTAACGATGCTGAGCCATTAATCCGGCCCCACTAGGTGCCACTGGGTGGGTGCACATGGCCCAACTCCCCCCACCCCCCCCACCCCCCCCCCCGGGATTAGGGCTGCTGTTGCTCACCCCTCACAGCCCTGAGGGCTGGGCGCTGGGGGGTTGGCAGGTACTGGACCCCCATCCTGGCCCCGCCGGCGCAGTGATGGCACCTCCCCGGCCACCCATCAGCCGGGGCAAGTTTGCCCCCCAGTTTCTCCCTGGGAGGTGCTGGGGTAGGATGGGGGGGGGGGAGGGGGGGGCTGCTCACCCCCCCACACACACATTCTGCCCTGGCAGCAGCTCCCCAGCCCCAACAATGAGGCGGTTGCATTCGGATGATGGTATTAAATCCCAAATAGCGCTGGGTGGTGGGTGCATCTCGTGCCGTGCTGTTACCCCAGCTGGGGAGGGGGCTCGGTGGCTGCTCGTGACACCCTCCCCGCCCCGGGGCACGGCTGCGTGGGCACAGGGTGGGGGAATTGCTTTCATTTCCACTTACCCACCTGCAGAATCGGGATCATCTTTACCCACATCCTCACCCATGACCGTTGCTGGCTGCAGGACCGGGCCCGGTGGAAATCCACGGCAAGGTTGCCGGTGCAGTGCCGTGGGTGGGCGTCCGGCAGCGTGGAACTGCCACAACCCACACCAGAGCCACCAGCCCGAACATGGGTGGGTGGGGGGTCACCCAAAAACGCAGCACGGCCATGGAGCCACCAATGGGACGCAGAGGGCTGGTTTGCCATGAGCAAAGCTGCTTTATTATTATTATTATCATTATTATTACTATTATTTTTACTTATTCTTAATACATTATTATTATTGTTATTATTATTGTTTATTATTATTATTATTATTATTATTATTATTATTATTATTATTATTATTATTATTATTATTATTATTATTTCCTGCGTACCTCTCCCCCCAGCCAGGACAGGGATGGGGACAGGGACACAGCCGTGCAGCCACATGCCCGGAGCCACCCGAGCGCGGCTCCATTTGTCTCTTTTTTTTTTCCTCTCCTCTTGCCGTGCCCACGGCGCGCGTGGTTCTGCTGATATTTATGGCGTGCCGGGAGGGGACCGCTCCGTCACCGGCAGCGAGCGGTGTGACAGCCGATCCAGGGAACAAAGAGAAATTGGGACAAAAGGAAATTTTCACAAAGGTCAATGTTACTGGGAGGGGGGGGCGGGGGGGGGGGGGGGAGGGTGTTGGGTATTCCATTGCCTGCCTGCGCATTAAAATTAGAGCGACTGGAGGAAAATATTTGCTTAGACCTTTGTCATTAAAAAGATGCCACAGCCAAAGAACCGGGAGGCTGAAGACTGGGGGTGCTGGTGGGTGCCCCTGTGCTGGGCTGGGGGGGCAGTGCCAGCTGCAGCCCCTCCATGGGGCTCCCAAGGGGGACCCCCTGCACTGGGGGGACCCTACCCAGGCCAGGGCTGCCCGCTGCAAGGAGCCTCGCCGGGGGCCCCAGGAAAAACTTTGCTCTGCTACCACTGCCTCTTGAGCCGGGGTTGGGGCGGGGGGGGGCGTTGATTAACGCTGCCTCCATCGTATTTCCCACATTGCCATAAATCAGGGCGAGCGGCCGGGAGCGCCAGCACGCTCCATCTTGCAGGTCGCGCAAGAGTTTCATTTCATTAAGAGCTGCGTGGGGTTCTTTTTTTTTTTTTTTTTTTTTTTTTTTATTTTTTTATTATTTAGCAGGTTAATTCTCCCTGCGCCCCCCCCCCAGGTAGCTCCCTCTTGGACAAGGATTTCACTGCGCACAGAAAGCCTTCAAATGTGTCCCAGAAAATAAATGGGTCCTTCCTTGGCAGGCGCCTGCCTCCATTCAGGAGTGCCGCGGTGCCAGCTCCAGCGGGCACAGGTGAGGCCGTGGGGACCCAAAACAGGTGCAGACACCAGCTGGGGATGGGGCAGGGACCCCACCCCGAGCTGCATCCCGGCACCCACAGCGAAGCCACTGCCAGCCAGAGCCCTCCCCCGCCCCAGCCGGGCGCAGCACCCCACCAGCGCTGCAGGAACACGCCGGGGGAAAAGATGCTGTATATCTTCCTATAAAAATAAAAATAATCATTTCTAAGGCAGGTGTGCACAGGGCTGATATTGAACTTACTTAGCGGCCGCCTTTGCTGTTTGAGAGCGAGGAGCAGAGACAGGCAGTATAAATTGCACGGCTGCAAAAGGACTTAAAAAAACCCATCTCTCATTTTGATTGATATTAGCTTCACAAATTAAGCTTTAAATTTATCTAAAAATAAATTTGCTTCCGCGCTCCGCATTCTGGATGACAAGTGCTTTTCTCTTCCCTTTGTCGGGTTTGTCATCACTGGCAGGGTGGTGCGGGGGGGGGGGGGGCAGGAGGGGGCCATGCCCAGGCCCCCAGGGTGCCCTCCAACCAATTTTATCTCATCATGCTCGAAGGCAGAGGGTGCAACAGCTCAGGGCTTTGCAGGGCAGGGTGTAAAAGGGCCAAACACAAGCCCTGCAGCCCCAAAAGCAGCAGAGGCGTCCTGGGCCGGGATGTCACCGTCGTGGGCGCCGTGTCCCCAACCCCACTGAGCCCCCGCGGGGTTCAGCGTGCTGGAGCTGGGGCATGGTGACGTCCCCCCCCCTTCCCACACCCCCACTGCTTTAAACCCCGCTCACGCACAGCCCCTCGGCTCCGGGACATTAGGATTTGCACAGGAGGGTGAAAAAATGGGTTTATTTCCAATTATGCTGGAAAAACCTGTCTCCGGCACTGTAGCTGGGGGCAGCCGTGGCGCAGAGCCCAGCTCCGGCACGCCAGGAGGCTGAGCCCTGTGCCGGGGCTCCCCCAGCCGCCGTGTAGCCAGCGGGGCCTGGGCGCCTGGCTGGGCGAAAAGCAAAGTTTATCATTTTTAAATACCAGCCTGCCTGAAAGCAGGAGCCGGCTCGGCTCCTCATTCGATTATGCAGCGTGAGCCGAGAGCTGAAACCTCAGCCTCTCCTAAGTAGTGATAATGAAACTTATTCATTCCCTCACCCTGGGGAAATACTTAAATCACAATATGAGAGATATATGTAAATCACATTTAAACGGAGACAGTGCAGTTAAAGCTAACAGCGAGTAATCAAGTTTGAAGATGAAGTGTCCCCTTTTCTGCTATATCATTTGCTTAGTGAGCTGGGCTGCCTCCAGGGCCCTGGCCAGCGTCTCTGCCACCATGTCACCGTGCCTCCCTGCCATCGTGACCCTGGTGCCTGCCCAAATCAG